GATGGGGGAGTGTTTACAGAAGAGGAACTTAATGTGTGTTTAATTGGGAAAAAGAAACTTAGGGTGAGACTACATGGTCAAATACATTGGGATTTGCTCCACTTCTAAAGCAGGTGAATTTGATATATTTTTTTAATATTTTATTTTTAACAAAGGGTGACAAAAAGGAAAAGGGGGATTGAGGTTAAGGGGGAAAAGGAGAAACAACGACCTATTAACATCCATTCTATACATATTGCCATGTCAAAATTCCAAATTGCTCTTTTTACTATTTTCTGCCTTCCAAATTTAAGTTCTCATTTCAATGTATGCTCTTTATACGATGTCTGTTGACTCAATCCATTTATAGAATAAGACCCATCTTTCAGTTGCCTTTTGTAAAGGACAGTCCTTCATCACTTCTGATAAAATGTCCATTTCCGCTGTTTCAATTCGATATACTTTTAAATGTCTGTGTGACTTTCAAAGCAGATTTAATTCCTCCCAGCCTATTTCCTACCAAACCAGCTTTTTTTCCCCCTTCGCCTAGCGGGTTAGCTCAATTCAATTGTGCTTTCCTCTGCAGAGGTTCCTAGGAAGATGGGTGTGTGTATCCTTAGGTGGTGTTTTCATTTGATGTACTTTGGGAGTGCTTTTCTGGGCAGTGAAAGCATGCCCCCACCTGTTTGCAGGAACAGGTTTTTTTTAATTGGAGCAAACACAATAGTAATGGAGCCAACATGGCTCAACAACAAAATTTAAGCAGTTCTAAGGGTGCCAGGAAGTTAACTGCACTCCCAAACAATTCAAATCGTTTGGGACCAATCTACAATCACTTACAGATACCACTTCCTCTACCAGTTCCAAGATACCATTCAGGTGCATAAAGCATGGGATGCCCCAACAAGAGTATTGGATGCAAGCACTCAACTGTTCCTGGATCAGAGTAGCCTGAGTGCCTTCCCCAGCTACTCCTTGGTTGTCACCACTACTGGTAGCTGCATCATATGTTTGGTATTCCTTCTTGGAGGCATGGCCAAAGTCTACACAGAGATGTACAGGGGTATGGGAGTAGGCTAGATAGGACGAAGAGGAAGACCAGTTGGCTGGCATGGGAATGCTGCTGCCTGTAAGAACCTGGTGGCAGGGCTGGTTGCCCCTGCTGCTTCCTCTGCTGAGGACATGCCCTGAGCTGGTTCTCCAACTGCCCCATCTCTTGCTGTCTCATCTCGAAATATTCAGGCTGCTTCCTCTGGTGACATGAAGAACTCCTCCTAACTCCTGGTGTTGGGTCCCAGTGACTGATTGTTTCTCAACCAGGTGTTGAGGGCTCCAGCTGCACTGACTCTTCTTGGGTCTCAAATGCCTCCCTGTCAATGGTGCCCACCCAAAGATCCTCCTCTTCCTCCTCACCCTCCTCCTTTAATCCCAGTCCTCCATGTCCACACATGTGGCGTCCAAGGCATCATCCACATCACTGTCCATCCACAGGTGAACTGCAGGTCACAAATTTCACCCTTACTTTCAGGAAGATGGAAAGCCCACTCTCTCCTATAAGGGGAGCAGGACCAGTCTCACATGGTTTGTCTGCTGTTTCAACTCAGATTGTGTGGGTCAAAAATATCATTTTCTGTTTGTGTAGATCCTGCTCACTTCCCCATTCTTCACCCATGGTGTCTCTTGGGTTTCAACTGTTGAGGCTCCAGGGTATGTAACCTTTAACCATAAGGGAAAATGGAGGGAGAATATTTATCCCTTGATATAGAAGGGTGGTGGAGATAATTTTGGCTGTTCAATAGCACAGCCCCGTTTCTAGTTACTGATCTCTAAGCCTCCTTTCAGCTCTTTTCCCACAGCTGTCCTGGATGTAATATGTCTGCTGGATTTCTGTTGCTTGTATGTACTGGATGTAAAAACTATAATGATATATTTCAGTTTACCAGGGTTTGCTTTGCACGGTTCAGGAGTGGGGAAGAGTGGCTGCTTGTAAGGTTTTCATGACAAACATACCAGTGAAACTTTCCTTATTTTTAAATAAATCTTTAAAAAAAAACAGAGTTCTTTGTTTTTGTCAACAGATTGGAGCTACATTTTGGGAGGAGGAGAAAAAAAAAAAAAAAAAACCAGAATTCTTTGTTTTTGTCAACAGATTGGGGCTAAATTTTGGGAGGAGGGGGGGTGCACAGCCAAGGCCACAGTGCCTGGGCATCACTAAATTTATTTATTTATTTTATCAGATTTCTATCCCACCCATCTAAGCGGGACTACCCTGGGCAGTTTACAAATTTAAAAACAATAAAACCAAAACCCAAAGAGTCCAAGATGGCGAATCATAAATAATCAAAATATTTATAAATAATCACCAAACTAGACAGGATCGGCAGTCCATTGTGGGCTGGAGATAGATTATGAAGTATAATAATATTTTAAATAAGCAGATAATAGAGTTCAAAAACAGATTTAACTGTTTTAAAAATCCAATACAGTAATTGTAGAAGAAAGTGTGACATTTTATAGCACTGTTCCGAGGCCAGGTAGCAATCTTGGTGCATCTTAGCTGTGCTCATGACACCACTCTTCAGATATGTAGTGGGGAGTGATACACTAATTATAGGCTAATTTGCGGATCATGGAGATTTGTTGGCGATTATATAAATTTCTAATTTGAGAAGGCATTTTTATAAGTGGAAGCCTTGAAGATTCATATTTGTCTGTCCAAGTTCACCAAAATAACTTTGGCTGTGCTTTCCAAACAAGCTGTACTTGCCTGCCTTTATGGAAAGAGCTTATTTAAAATAGGACTGACCTGTTTGTTATATCTTGCACCCCTTCTGACGGGCCTCATTGTTTATACCAACATATGGAGTGCAAAATGTTCCCATGAGGATCCAAGTTGAAGTTTTGCTAAATTAACATCTTCATCTCTGCTGATAAGCCATTTTCTGTCATGAGTAAACTCTGGCAACTGAAATGCACAGTGCCTTCTTTCTGTGTTACACTGCACCCCAGTGTAACCTTACACCATGAGACATGTAGAAACTAACATATACCTCAATGAAAGGAAAATAATAATAATTAACACAGGTAGAAATGTCTGATGACTTGGAACATGATATACAGAGAAGCTGTCTTTATTGGGTGCCAGATAATTATCCTTTCATTTGCCAACTACACACAAGGGTGTTTAGTACCTAATTACATCAAGTATTTCCAAATTCCTTCATGCCAATATTAAAACATAGAAGGGTCTATAGCATGAGAGTCCCAGAATTAGAGGTTAAAAAGTAAGAATACTGTAAGTGACTGTTCTAAGAGTCTGGTTCAGATACTAGTACTAAATGCATAGACATGATCAGAAAGAATTTAGGAACAATGATTTGCTTCGGTGGGAAGAACCAAGGAGTGGGTTCAGCCTTCCTTCCTGAGACAGTGTGGGCCATGGATAGATGGTTGGTGGTATTGATCACAGTTGGCCTATCTACTAGATCAGGCTTTCAACTTAAAAAAAACAGGAACAATCACCCTGCCCATCCTTTTCGCACATACATTTCCTCCTCCTATCCACACCGCTTGGCAAATAATCCTAAATGAACTTCCAACAGGCACTGGTTCCAAATACACATGCGTAGATTTGGGCTCCATGCTACAGCAAATATATCTGCAGATGCCACAAAGAAGAACATCCTTTTAGAAGAGACGTGAAAACATCAGACACACCAAACCAGGAAGTAGCTGAAGTCCTGTGTGGAGTATTCTTTAATAAATGAAAATATACCATCTCATTTAAAAAAACAAACTCATAAAAGTGCAATAGAACAAACCTCCCCAACACACACTTTTTATTACTGAGTCAGGGTGCCCACGTCTCTAAATGTTTTTTTGATGTTGGCTTTAGCCTATGTATATCCCACCAGCCTCAAGGTGTTGGGGAAGGTCTTCCGCATTCCCATACATTTCTCCTGGTCAATGAAAAGTGAATTTGCTTTGACAGCCAGGTCATGCTCCAAGTTGGCTTTGGTGTGAACCAGCGCCTGGAGGGTATCTTCTGCATCTCTCAACCTCTGCTGAAGCCCCTGGATTGTATCATCAATTTCATAGACTTCGTTCACAAGGCTGAGTTGGAACACAAGAAAGGCGTGTTAGTAAATTCAGCACAGCAGAAGAATTTTTCATTGTTTATGGTTCTAATGAATCCTCTGCATAATGACAATACTACCTAGTCCAAAAAAGGAATGTTCCTTCACCTCTGTATCAGTGCCATCACCAACATATGCAAAAGGCCATTCCTAATAATGTAACTGTTTACTGTCCATACCTTGTTCATTTATTTCTACTAACCTCACTATTTAATACCCTCAACAGTATAAATACCTGCAGCTCCAGATAAATACTTCACAAATTTGTTGAAGTGGCTCTAGTTCACAAAAGCGATAATGAATATTTTAGTCTTTAAAGTAACACAAGATTCTCCCATTGTCATCAACTACAAAATAAACAGCAGTCAATGTATGGATACTAAAGGTCTTGCTAAGGCTGATATTAATCGTAAGAACTGTCTGTAAATCAGCTGGTACACATAGATTAGCAAACTTTTTTAAAGGGGAACAAAATGTATCAATTGCTCAAAATCCTAACCAGAATATGCCAAGGAATATGTAAAACAGAACAATTGCCCACAGACTGGAAATGTTCAATATTAATTCCAATCCCAGAGAAAGACACTAAAAAGCACAGTTAATTTTAGGGGCATTGTATTTTCTCATGCAGATGAAGTGAAATACTCAAGATTTTATAACAAGAATATTTATATGCCATGTAGTCAAGATGGATTCATAAAAAGATTACAGATTATGGTAAAGCCTTTGACTGTGCAGATCATGAAAAGCTATGCACCATTTAAAAAGCAACGGGAGAGCCGCAATATTTGATTGTCCAGATATGTATCCTATATCCTGGACAAAAAGCTACTGTAGAAGAAGAGGAGAGAAACAGTATGGCTTCCAATTGACAGAGATGTCAGAGAAATATGTATTTTTACCTTTGTGTCTCTCAGTCTATGTGCACAACATGAGAGATCAAATAAAACCCAAACTCATTGGAAGCTAAAACAGCTGAACTAAGGCTATGGTACTTTGGACATACAAAGTCAAGGTGTTATTCACTAGAAGAGACAATAATGCTAGGAAAAGTGGCAGTGGGAAAGGAGGAGGACTGAACATGAGATAGATTGACTCAGTGAAGGATACCATACCCTTTAATTTGCAAGAAATGAGCAGGGTTGTGAATGATAAGACATTTTGAAGGTCATTACTTCACAGTATTGGAGTAAATCAGAAGTACTTGATGGAAAATAGCAACAACAGAATATATGGTCTTTCCCCATGAACCTGATAAATTAAACTTTTAGAGTGAATTATGGGAAAAGGCCAGGGTAGGAGGCTGCAGTACTCAGAGGGGGGGCGTGGCAGGGAAGAATGGAAAGTTGTGGTTTCCTGTTCACATTTTGGTATTCTGGTTTGTCAGTTTGTTTTTTATGAGCTTCACATTCCTTTGTCAACCACTGTGAGAAAGCAGAGCCTAGCAAAATTCACATAAAAGAGCAGTAAGCAAGAGGAAGGTGAAGAAAAGCAATCAGGTTGCCAAGAAAGCACATTAAGGTGAGATATTTTCCCCCGTTTAGTAAACCACATTCAGAATGAAGCTTAAGATGCTGGTGGTGTCTTAGACAAATGCCTGTTCCCTTCACCATAGCAGCCTATAGTAGGAATTCAGATTATGTAGCCATTGATCCTATAATACATTCACAACCACTAAACAGTCAGAATTCAGAATTTCTAAATGAAAGACTGTATCCCTTTCTTGTGGGTTAGATCAGGATTACGTTAGCTATTTTCCCAACATCCTTGCAGCTAGGATAGTGGACATAACAATTTTCTACGTCTCCCCATTGCGTGTCTAATTAATATCTGCTGGGCCTTGACACAAATAACCAAGCAACTAAAATCACAACACAGGCTGCTAATTGGATTGTTAGCTTTGGGATACAAACTCCTTTTGCTGAACTGAAAACCCTTCACTGGATGAATGGTGAACTGGTTGCTGACAGGTATAGGATCAACAGGTTAAATTGTTGCACCTGCTGCACAATAGGTGTACATAAAGGGACAGACTTCAAATAGCAACATGGAGAAGGTTAGCCAGCACCTTCTTCTGTATATTCAATTTTTATTCTGTCCAAACTGCTGTAAAACCCAGATTAGTTATTAGTTATTCTGTACTGTAGAAATATCCGTTGAGTATCATAGTTACTGTAGATAGGTATGCTCGGGTACCCTGAGGATTCTTCTTCCAGAAAAATCAGTATTTTGGTTCTCAGCAACAGGATCCTGCTTCTGTGTGTAGTGAGATGTAGCCAGAAATCCAGTTGATATTCAGGGAATACCAGAGACATCTTGAACATTATGACATCACAGGGAATACCCACAAAAGACTTCAGGCTATCTTGTGGTACAGTATATGGGATAATTTGTTCCAGTGCTTTGTTTGGCTTTTATTTAGTTAAAGGGGAAGAAATAACCAGTCCCCAGAGTTGATATAAAACAGAGGCCTTGTAAGATGTCACTGCTGGGTTGCTCTAAACTCAGGGCATTTTCGTCCTTCAGAGATAATTTCTTAATGAATATGTCACGGAAAGAGGATATTTTAATTGATTCTAAGCATGTAAGATTGTGGATGACAAGGCAGAGGTGGATGGGAATGGAAGGACAGGATTCTGCTAATGGGAGACTATGACTGTGTAGCACAGGATGCAGATTTAGTACTTAGAAGTTCCCATTTTCACTTCCTGATGGGTCCAGTTTTTTTAAAAAAGTAAGACAGCAGATAAAGAAAATGTAAGATATTAAACTGAGCAAAGCCAGAGGACAACATTGGACTAGGCAGAGAAATCATCTAACCTGATATGCCATTTATATATATAATCAACACATGCTGTTGTTTCTTCACTATGGGAAGCCAACCAGGTGCTTTCCCTTACCGTAACTGGGCAGAGTCCCGGCAGAGTTCTACATTGGGTCTACGGGTGCGTTCGTCCAGACGTGTCTGAGCCACCTTCAAGGGAGGCCCCTTGTCCCTAATCGCCTTCCGAATGGCTTCTATGGTCATCTCTGTCTCAAAGATTTCTTGGAGAGTCTGCATTTCAAGGGAAAGTAAGTTAAAAAAAAAAACAGAGAAATTTTAATATAAATGTCAGGCAAAGCCAAAACCAAAATTAAAAAATGCAGATGACAGAAACATTGTGGCACCTTAAAAACTAACTGCTATATTTTAATGTGAGTTTTTGTAGACATTTCCACTGCTGTCCATGAAAGCTCACATTAAAATATAGCAGTTAGTCTTTAAGATGTCACAACATTTTTGTCTTCAATTTTTTACTTCTGTTTTGTTTTTGGTTGACATGTTAGCACAGACTAACACGGCTGCCCTCTTCTAAAACTACAATTCTATATAAATGTATACTTTAGCAAAGATCCTGCTCCTCACCTCCCTTATTGTCCTTTATTGCAGTTCTGTAAAAGAAACAGAATTCATCAAGAACCTGGGGTATCATACCAATAATTCCCTAACTTCTCTCAGTATGTTGACCTGGTTATTGGTTACCATGCATTTATTGATGCAACATGAGGTGGACAAGACTGTTCCTGTATTAGCAGCACACAACAACTATGATGCAATTGCAATGGGTGCACTGATGCACAGGTGCTCCAATGTCACTATGTCAGTCCTGACATAGGTGGCAGGATGACCTGCACTGTAGTCAGTTCTTTTCTGTAATGCTTTTGCCACCTCAAACCAGCTTCTCTGAAGCTGCTACTCAAAAACAAGGTTATGTTTTGGAATACAAATCTTATAACGCCAGTAAGCATGGCCATGGACCATGCTGATTGGGGGGATTTATAGAAATCACAGTCTAAAAAGTAACTTCAAGCAAGCTCTGTAGTACAGACCCTTACAGGGGGTGCTCTGAATGTATATGCACATACAAGCATATTTAGTTAAGGCAATGTGCACAAAGTGCTCCGAAGACATTGTTTGATATGTGCCCTGCTGCTACCTTCTAATGCGCAAAACCACAAAGTTTCAAAGCGTCTAAGCAGAATATACCATAGTTCTGTATATTCCTGTACACTCTGGGAAACATTGTTTGTTAGTAGAAATGATACCAACAAAACAGAGTGACAGCACATTGCACTCCTCAGCCTATCACAATTCAGACTGGTTCATGGAGACTTGCCCCTGGTTAAATGGGTATAAGATTGCATAATGCTACAAAGCCATAAAATGAGACACAACACACAAACTAACTGAAATGTACAGAGGGATGGGAGGCGTTCTTCTCCCCAATCCTAAATACACAGGTTATTTTTAAAAAACAAATGATACAGAAAGAGGGAAATATGGTGCGGTTACCGTGCATGATATGTACACAAGTAATTCTAATATGCAGCAGGTTTGTATTCCCTCCCTCCAGAAACATTCCTGTAGACATTCATAGCTCCATGGAGATCTATTGCACAAGCTGTGCTAGATGCTATGAGAGCAGGTCCACTTCAGAGCTCACAGCTCTCTACAGCTTAATAGAGCAATGCCCTCCATGGGAAAGCCCTTCACCCCAATGAGAAAGCTAAGCGATTGACCCCACCTTTGCCAGATGAGCCTGAATCTTGTTTTTAGCATCTGCTGTTTCGGAGATGCGGTTGGTAAAGGCAACATTGGCTTTGTTAAACTGGTTCCACATCTCATTGGCTGTCACCACTAGCAGTGTCTCAATATCATCTCTGAGTTTGGAGGAGGCTGTCCGCTCGCTCTGGGAGCGTAGAATGTTATCATCAGTAAACTTGGCCCAGGATTCTGGCACTGAAATCCTGGGAAAGCACAAGGAGAGACAACAAGAGAGTCCTCACATGGTTTGCAAAGCTTTTCCTGAAAGAGTAATAAAGACTGGATGCAGAGGGAGTGGTGGCTGCATTTACAAGGAGTTCCACATGTATTTTAAAAACATGTGTAACAGCTTTTATGCCTACATTTTCTAAATGTAAATCTTGCAGCATCTTCCTATATTATATGGAGTTCAACATGAGAACGAGTAAAGAAGAGTAAAGAAGAGTAAAGAAGAGAAGCAGCTGCAGAGAAATGTAAATACAACGAAATTAAGTTAAGGAAGCAGCCAGACATTTTAAAATTACATTGACTCCTGCCAAAATGCATTCTTCTTATTCCTCACATTACCACCCCAAGTCAGATTCTTTTTTAAAAAAGGAGAAAGTCCACAACTATTTTACAGTTTCTTTCCTTCAAATGTGCAATATATGGACCCAGCATGATCTCTGTGTTGTTTGTTTCTCCCTTTGAAACAAATGGCTGGTTTAGAGACTATATTGTAAAATGAAAGGCATGGACTAAGCAGAGGCATGACTCAAATTATCATTGCATATTTTTCTAAATGGATCTTGGCTAAACTAGTAATTCCATAAGACAGATCTAGGTCTCCAGATATGGGTGAGTTTTCTGACTGTCAGCTGATGTAAGTATAGGTTAATGCTTATGAAAGCTCAGGTGATAAACAATAATTTGTTCTCACGTCTAGCTCAATGGCTGAAATCCTATTGCTTGGAATAGCAAGTCATAACTAGAGGAAGCCCATCAAATCAATGGAACTTACGGAGGAGGTGACCACCCCCCAATCCCCACAGATTTACTCTAGTTACAACTTATTACATTAAGCAACTGTATTTCAGTCACTAAATGAAGCATCAGGTGATGGTTTGCTGGTGTAGATGAGGCATCATCACCTGATGTTTCCAATAATTTTTTTATATAATTTTATTTTTTAACATAAGGGATGACAAAAAGGAAAAGGGGACTTGGGAATTTATGGGGAAGAGGAGAGACCATAACATGCTAACAACCATTCTAAACTTAATGCCATATCATAGTTTTAAATTGTTCTGTTTTCCCTTTGCTGCCTTTTAGATTAAGCACTCATTTCAGTATATGCTATTTACACGTTGCCTGTTAATTTAGTCCATTTGTTGAATAGGTCCCATCTTTCTGTTGCCTTTTGTAGGGGGTAGTCCTTCATGACTTCTGATAAAATGTCCATTTCTGCTATTTCCCGTATTTTTTCAATAAGATCTTCTTGCTTCGGTATCGTAGGACTTTTCCAATTTTTTGCATATAAAATTCTAGCTGCCGTAACAATATACATGACTATATGTTTCTTTGACTTATCTATGTTATCAGGTATCATACTCAATAAAAACAATTCTGGAGTTAATGGCACATTACAGAGGATTATTTGTTGTAACATAGTATGTACTCTTTTCCAGTATTTTTTCGCTACTCCACATGACCACCGCCTGATGTTTCCTGATGTTTCCAATAATGATAGTCAGTCTGATAATGTATCAGACAGGGACTCTTGAGACTTAAGTTCAAATCTCCTTTCAGGGTAGAAATTCAGTAGGGGGGTAGCAATGAATATCTCACGTATCTTGAAAACACCATGAGGGTTGGCATAAGACCAAAAGGACTTGACAGCACATAACAATAAAGAGCTATCAGAGGCTAATAATCATGTTTTGATAGCAGCTGAGCTCACTCTTTTCCCACATACAAAAAAAGAGTCATAAATGCTGTCAAATGCAAAATTATTAAGTGCAGAATTGTCAAAAAAATGAGACACCAAATATTCTACATGGATGTGCAAATTACTCTAGTTTTTACACTAGTTATGCTTTTCTGACCATTTTCACTAAACTTTTGGACTTTGTAATCCATTCTGTGGATCTTCAGAAATATAACTATACAACTTTCCCTCAACTTGTAGATATTTTAGACTTTTACTCCCGTCTGCCCTAATGAGAGTGGCTAATCGTCATGAATTCTGAGAGCTGTGGTCACAGAATCATAGAACAATGAGGTTGGAAGGGGTGTATAAGGCCATTGAGTCCAATTCCCTGCTCAGTGCAGGAATTAAAATCAAAGCAGATCTGACAAATCTAAGCATTTGAAGGATACAGATACCAGGCTGAAGAAGACTCTAACAAACACTTGGGGTGGGCAGGTTTTCTGAGCAGAGGGATGGCATTGCACACAGATGTCCTGAAACCACCACAAACAGTATTTTGTGTCACCATATCACTGTGGCAGCACCATCTCCTGCCATGTTTCTCTTAAAATGTGATAGTGACAGATACCTCAAAATCAGGTTGCAAGGCGTTGGTCCTTATAGCCTCTGGCCATGTGTTCCTAACCCTTGACATAAAAGCAAAAAGCAAAGCGTGCTGCTTATATACCGCCCCATAGCACTTCAAGCACTCTCTGGGCAGTTTACAAGTTAATTATGCAGGCTACACATTGCCCCCCCCCCAGCGAGCTGGGTACTCATTTTACCGACCTTGGAAGGATAGAAGGCTGAATCAACCTTGAGCCGCTACTTGGGATTGAACCCCAGGTTGTGAGCAGAAAATCAAGAAATTCAGACACTCAGGCAATGCAGAGTTCTGGCCTGCATTCCTGTTTAGGGAAGAGGCATTCAGCTTGCCATAACACAAAAAAGAGGGGAGGGGAAGAGATATTTTAATCTGGTACTTCATTAGCATTAGCAGGGAACACAGAATGAGCCTTCCCAAAGAATATGAGGCCTGTGAACACATTTTGGTGACTTCTGGCTAATGACAGTCCCCTATCAACTGATCCTTCCACTCTGGAAGCACCACTGGATTGCTTCTGACAGGAGTGAAGAAGAAGATTAGCATTAAGATGTGGCTTAGGCCACTTAAACCCTTCTCCAAGGGTGCTAATGTACAAGGCTCCCATTGACACTTACGTAGCATCCACTCGCTCCACGCCACGGTAATAGCTGATGCCATCAGATGTGTTCCTGAGATGGTGGCATTTGTCATCAATTCGATGAGCTGTTTGTTTGTCAGTCAGATCTTTCTCCAGCTCATGCTGGGCTGCCCGGTCAGCTCTGTAGTAAAATGGGCGTAAAGGTGAACTGGGCTTTCAACTCTCCACCACCACACAAAAAACCAAAACAAATAATTAAAATAGAATTCACTCTCCTTAGACCCCTTATCATTATTATAAACGTATACTCATTATAAACTTTTGTATTTTCTCTTCTTAAAGCAGGTAGATATTAAAGCTATTAGAATCTTAGGTTGGGAGTTCAGTTTCCCAGTGTTTCATAGGACATAACTCTGGTCTTAGACTGGCAGATCTATACATTATGCTCAAAGATTTAGAAACAGAGCCAGTCCCAGTGGCCGATAAAGACCATGTAACTTGTTGTGATCAACAATGAGTCTGACAAGTTTCTCACCTATAGTAGTTGCTACCTGGTGAATAGCTAGCTGGGTGAAAGGCTAATTTCTGGAATTCTCAAGTATTTATCTCTGTGCCTTTTTATTACATGTGTTCAGCAGTCAGTTCTGTAACTCTCACCGGCATGTGGTTTCCTTCCAGTCTAGCTATGCAACAAGGATACTGGATACATTCCCCCCTACTCTCAAGCTGCTCTATAGGAAAAACTGATGAGGTGCTCATGCCAGAATTTGTTTCTAAAGTCTATATGAGGAAAGTGGAGATGAAATGTTTCCTTACGCAAGCTGGGCCACTGCCTTATCCAAATGTCTTCTCATTCTCTCTTGGCAAGAGTGGATGACATCAACCTCCTGGTCAAGTCAGAGAAGCAAAAAATCCTGTCAATATTTCCTCTGATTAATGAAAGTAACACCAAGTACTTTATGAAAAAAATTGACCCACCCCTACATGAAGCACAAAACCACAGTCTAAGTATTCAGGACTCCATGGGGATTGCACAGGTCCTCTTCTACTTTGGAAAAACAGGTACTCTTAAGCATTAAAGCAAGCTAGCGGGGGGGGGGGGGCTGTGATGTATTTAAAATTTAAAACAGCACTTCTAGAGGCTTTCAGGCACTGGAACTCACATATTTTGTCACACACAAAAAGGGGGAGACAGGAGGTGACTAATGCACATATGAAAATATAGTTGTCTGAATAGCTCACTGAGTTATCTGGCTGTGGACCCAGTTCCCCAGTGTGCATCCCGGAAGAGCCAGACTGTGTGGTAGCCTTGGGCAAACCGCGCAGTCCCAGGGCACCCCCAGAAGAAGGGAATGGCAAACCACACCTAAGTACTCTTTACCTAGAAAAACCATGCAAAGGGTCACAATAAGTCAGAACTGATTTGACAGTGTACGATTATTGTAAAAGTATCATGGGGCTCGAGGGGCCTTTGTTGACCTGACCCCAAGACCTGATTTCACTGACTCTCATCTAGTACGATAAACAGCCTCTCTTTGAAGAATATTTAGTGGCAGGGGGGGGGGGAACACAACTGTTTGAAAATCTCTACTTTTTCTGAATAAAATCAGCAGTAAGTAGAAATGGGAAACATAAGTTTTTGGGCTACCGTTCTCAGAACATCCTCATCAGTATGGCCACCAAGCATGCCAAGTGGACTATTTCAGGAGCAGCAGTCCCAAAATGTGACAATTACTGCCTGTGGTAGCGGGACACTGCAAAGTCTCCGCCATTCAAATCCCCTTCCTTGGGAAGCCCTGCATTAATGATCTGTCTGCAAACTGGCAACATGAAGCCTTCCCAAACGTTTGCACAGGGAGAAAACCTTCATTCCCTAAAGTTGTCTCCAGGAAATGTCTTGAGGTGCCTTTATTCTTTAGGATGGGAGACCTTTTTACTGCAAGACCTGGGCCACCTCAGGCCAGGAGCACGTCCAGAGGAAGATGAGGTTGTGCAGCCTCCTCTATGCACTCACATAATTTTACAAGGAGGGAAGATGGAAGGAAGAGCTGTCCAATGCCTTTTGATTAGCAGTGTTAGGAGCCATCTGTCTGGAAGCCTCCAGGGTGCTCTAATTCTACACCTATGTCTTAATTTCTCTTTATCCTTTCTGAGAAAGCTGATTGTATCCCAAAACAAAGCACAGTAAACTAAATCTATCAGTCCGAAAGCTGCCACAAGACTCTCCCCACACCCCATCTTTCTTTTTTTAATAAGAATTGCTCCATTGGATGGAGAATTGTGCTTATGCGCTTCTGTCTGCTTCTCCTCCTCTCACTCACTTGTCAATCACACACTGCCCTTTAACTAGGGAGGCTTTCATGTCTCAAGACTCTTTTCATGCCTGGAGTTATTCTGTTGCCCACAGGCACTTCACACAGGCAAAATGTAAGACCGATCCAGCTACCAAGGGCTGAATGTTTCCATATGGCACTCTCTTTGTTGTGGAGACACCTTATTGCCTTTGGAGGAAAGTATCCTCCCAATAGCGTTTGCCATCAAGTTGAGCTGGTTGGCCCTTGAGTTCATGAGCTAAGAAGGAACAAATGACAATCAGGTTTGGCCAACATATAGGTCTAGCACGGGGGTGGGGTGAGGAGAGATTTGAGCAGGAGAAACTGGAAATGACTTAGAAATAGACTTGGAATGGGAGTGTCCAGTTCTTATTGAGATCAGCAAGAAACTTTCTGTTCATCGTCACAGGGTTTGAACCAGGCTTCTAAAATAATACTGTGGCAAAGACTCTGCATTGGCCAGTTGCTGTTCTCACCACTGAATGTTGTGATAGGTATTTGGACCAGCCCTTAATTAAGTACAGTGGGGCCAACCCTGAGCTAGTATATAATACAAAGAACTCCCTGATCCAGAATCTGAGCTCAGTAGCATTCAGCAGGACACAGTACAGTGTATGTTGGGTGGAGGGGCTGAACTCAATAGTGTAAATCTTTATTAGGTGAGATATCACAATGCATACGCTTTTAAATCCTAGAGTTTAGCCCCAATCCTGACCTTACCATTTTATGTGTTAAGATTGTAATATCTTGCCCGTCTCATCGAAGAAAGTTTTCCACTTTTCAGATCTGCCCCTCCACCCAACATGCACAGTTCAAAGGGGCATTGGCCATGGTGGAGCTGCACGTCTGAAGTAGTAAACACTTGAGAGAAGGAAACCTACACATGGTAAGACTAAGAGACAGGATGTACAAAGGAAGGCAAGGTCAGGAAGGCACGTCCAAAGGAGAAATGAGAAATGTAGAATTGCTGTCAGGATGTTTCCTGGCTTCTGTGACTCCATTGAGATTCCTAAATAAATGTCCAGAAACTACAGGAAGAACAGGAAGGAGCCACAGGCAAGAGATGAGAGACTGCTCAGCTGATTTAAAAGGCACAAAGAATGTTACACGCTCATGAAGTTTTGTCCCTGGGGGATTTCTGGTGTCCTCAATTTAGAGCCCAATTTGCTTCCTTTTCTTATTGCAAACTCAGAAGATATCAACAGGATGTACCAGAGGAATACACTTGCTTTGTATATATTTCCTTGTTATAGGGTGTGGTATTTATTTACATATCTATCCAGTAATTCCTCATAAACCCACCCCTCACTGAAAAGAACAATAATCACAGATTGGAAGATATCTCTGAGTATCCATCAGAAAGCTAATGCAGCTGTTCTCAAAACTACTTTGCTTCCTTTGTGTCTGATTCCTACTGTGAAGCATTTACATGGTGACTGGGAGATGTGTGGCCCTCCAGATGCTGCTGGACTCCAATTCCCATCAGCATAAATGCTGGGACAGATAATGGGAACTGAAATCTAAGAATAGGAGGACGCGATATTCCCCCATCCCTGATTTATGTGTGCCAAATTGTCTTCCCACCCCTGTATTTCCTACTTACAGATCCTGGGGGGAAAAACAATTGAGGAGTATCATGCAGAACAGTTGTTTTGATCCTGCCTGAAAACGCTTCTGGGTTGAAGGGAAGGATATAAACAATCACCTGAGCCAGCTCTTAATGGACTCAGAGCATCTAAACATTATGCTATTAGCCAAGCATGAATTAAACCCACACACACTTTTTCCTGTTAAGGGTATCACATGAACTTACTGTCATTAGTTGTTTTTCCACATCATCATGAACGAGATCAATACCCATCCTCTTCTCTCGATGAAGCAAGCATTCCTGAGCTACCTGTTTAACATCGCAGAAAACTGGTAAGGCTGATGGGACATACAGCTTTATGGCATCTGAAAGTATTAACAAGTTTGTATGGTGGAAGACTTCACAAACTGAAGGTAGCTGATTAAAGGTGCTAGGCAGTTCACCAAAATACTTCTTAGTCTTTAAGGTGTGAGACACTTTGTTGTTTTTGCTGCAACAGACTAGCAACAAACTAGCAAAATCAAGAAGAACTGAGAAGACAATGTAGCACTATAGAATTAAAATGTGGGTCTCAACCAAAATGCAAAGGCCAGTATTCTGTTGCTGGTCACAACCAAGAGTTGGTTGAAATCCTGTTGTGCAGTTACACAAACTGCACAACCTCCAGAAGCAAACAGCCAGAAATCTCCATAGATATTATCTGTTGTATAGTGAGTCACTTGACTCAACATACAACAGATGTCTGCAGAGATTTTACTCATCTCTAAAAGTTACACCATTAGCACTACTGCACAAGAGGATTTCAGCCATTGAATCAATGGCTGTAAATTATTAGTTAAGCAAATTTAGTTGAGCCAGTGGGCCTTCTCTAGTTGGACTTGCAATGGGATGTTGGCCAGAATGCCACTACATTCCACTAGAATGGAGCATAATTAAGCCTATTTATTGTGTTGGATGTTTGCCAAATTTATCTTTATATAGAAGCAGGGCCATCATTTTTCACCTATTCTTAGTCAGAAAATGCCATCATTGGATACAAACACAGCACTCTTAATTCGCACCCAGACAGCTTTAACTGATGCAACAGAGGTAAATGTCCTTGATCCTTGGAGATCAAGGTTGCTTTGACTGGCTTAATAAAGCCTTGGCCTAGGACACTGATTTGACAAAAATGCTGTTGACAACAGTGGAAACAAATGTTTTGACTTACGGAACAGCAACAAAATCAAATATTATTCAGAGGTCTGCCAAGGCTTCCAGCAATTCTCAAGCTAGAGCGGAGAGCTAAGCATGCTTATCATCAAGGCTGAGCATATCTTGCATCTATGGGTTACTAACTGTCCGTTGAGTGGGCAGGAAAAAGAAAAAGGAGGGAGGAAGTGAAAGGAGCATCATGCAGAAGGGCACTGCTGATGAAAAGGAACCCAGAGAAAGAGACTCTTCCAAGATAGTTGTTGGAAGTGACTCGGTACAAGTATGCCTGCACTCAAGAAGATACACATCTTTGTATGGGAAAGAATAGAGACACCCTTCTTGGGTTTCTTAGACTTTTAATGTGCTCTGATCTGTCCTGATTTTCCTTCAACTTTAGATTGCTTTTTTTAGGACTGGTGGTGACAGTTCCTTCCTTCTCACATCTCTTTCTTGTTCATCCAAGGAGGAGATAAGACATCTTTCCTTTGTTCTCTAGAGATGGAAAGGGTGGCTAAGGCTCCTGACGTTTCCAACCCAGTTAGCTAGAACCGGGACCGCTATCATATCCTAAGTGCATTTTTCTAATAAACACAAAAAGAAGCATGGATGTAAATCCTTTATAAAAGGGGGAAGTGTGCTCAGATAATTATTCAAAATCTCAAAGGGCTGTATCCACAAATTAACTTGCCTCAGTACCACTCCATGTGTACTCTCCAACAGCAGTGAGGGCAACTGTAAGTCCTGTTTCTTTGTCAAACAGGGAACAAATTATTTTTTTGTCACAAAGAATGACAACTAATGATTCTCTACACCAACCATTCTCCAATGTTTTTGGTTGCAGCCATAAACATATTATGAAAGAAATATAGACCGAACCAGGATTGTATAAGTTGCATAACAAAGCATAGAAGTAGGTATGTGAAAAAGTGTTTCCAGGCTATGGCCCTCCTTCAAATGTGCCAGGGACCCCAAGGGGGGGCATATGGCTCCTATTTAGAATGAGTGCTCTACACTGTTGCTTTTCTCATTTAACTTACAAGTTCCTTTTGCTCTATGTGGAACTGCATCAGGTGCTATTACTAGCTTAGATACTATCTTAAGGCGGAAATGGGGAACCTCAGTGGGGCTTGGGACCAATGGCTTGCCCTGGGATCCTTTGTGAGCCAATGGCCAATCAAATTGCAAAACTGATGAAGTGGGAGTTCCCAGAGATCCACTTCTGGTTTGGCGGGAGAAGGCCTACTTAAAAGGTGTACTACTACTTCTGAAGTTTTCCCCCCACTGCTGGTATTATTGCAGTTCAACCAAGTTGACCCTTGTACCTGCAGTGGTCCTTCAGTTTCTACCAGGGCTCTTTCCAGTCGTTTCTTCATGTCTGTAAGAGCATTTGTCTCCCCAATCATTCCATCGATCTCGTGGTTGAGCTCTGATTTCCAAAACACAATATCATTGACTCGTTCTCCCAGATTTTTTGTTGTTTCTGTTTGGGTTTTCCTCGTCTGCTGATCCTTGTCTTGAATCATCCGGGAGGTGTCCACCCTCAGCCTTTCGGCATTGTGCCGGGATGCCTCTGACTCCTTGTAGTTTGTCAGGTTAGATCTATACCAGTCATCAGGCGTGTACCTAGTAAAAAGGGCTGTTCGGTTAGAAACAAAGGGGAGTGCGTAGCTTGGAGTGAGCCCTTGTGAACTCTTGGAGAAAGGTGCCAGAGTTGGAGTGATGGCCGCAACTTTGTAATAGGCGCTGGGTCTCCAAGGGAGGCTCAAGCTGTGAGTCAGAGCATAGTGAGGAAATCGGTTCTTGTAGCTTGAGGCCATGGTGCTGATGGCTGGCAGAAAATTTGAGGGTGTTGGTCTCGGATGGGCATATGTTGCCGTCAATGTAGAGCCTGCAAGCTCCATGGCAGCAAATGGTTATCCAGACAGAGTTCCTTCATCAAAGAAAAATAAGAACAAGTGTGCATTGGAAGAAATTCTGTTGTAAGCTAACAAAGCCAACTAAAAAGCCCAATAGCAGGTTAAAACATTTCACCTCCAGCAACAGAAATCTGGCTACCGTTAAAATGATCAGCAAATTATTGATCAGCTATAGTGCAATCCTATACATGTGTACTCTGAAGTGAGTCTTATTGACATCAATGAGGCTTACTCCCAGGTAAGATTACAATTTGAGATTGTAGCTTAACTGTACATGATAATGATGATGATAATGCTGATGACAAATCATGAAAGACACAATTCAGATCTTATCTCTCAAACATCTACTTATCTTAAGAATCTTTTGATTAACATATATGGTAGTGATGACACAGAAAAGAAAAATCAACACAGCATCCCATAGCCAAGTGCCATGTTGGCTAGGCTAGGATGAAGGACGTATCTTATTTCATCTTGCAAACAAAATTATGTGGCTGTCACCAGTATTCAACAAATTTACTTAGAGAAAAGATCACTCAAGGTCAACTGGTTGACAGTGTCTTTTTGAAAACACAATAGCAGTTCTGAAGTTATTTTGAAAGCTACCTTGGAAAGTGGACCCACACAGAGAGATTATTGGTTCAAGTAACCTCAAGCTGACATGCAATCTATTGTGCTTTTCACTTAGCTAATTGTATGCTGGAAATCTAATATTCATGGCACTCTAATGTAAATACCTGCCTGTACATAATATGAAATCTAATGACAAATACAGAAGACTACATTGTGCCGAGAAAACTTCATTTTGGTTGCCAGAGTTGATGATGGGTAAAACAAAACAGAAGATTAAAGGAAAGGCTTCCCATACTTGGAGCCCAATAAGTTGTTGGATTTCAGCTCTGAGAATCCAGCATGAACAGTAGTTCAGACCCTGAGAGTTCTGATCCAACATCTGGCTATATCTCTTTCAGAATGACAGTATTAAACAAAGATGGAAAAGATGAGAACTTGCCAGAGCCTTTAGAACAGCATTATTACCTTCCCATATATATATAAAATATTTTCTTCATTTTCACACTTAAACAATAATCTGACACAGAGCTAATCATGCTTAAATTCACCAAACTGAGGACTCAGACACACCAGGTGTGTAGCTTGGACTGAGGTGAGTTGGGAGTGGTCCTGTATCCCAATAGATCTAGAAAACTTCACTCCAAGGACCCATAGCTATTTTAATATTCCCTTGACTATAAGGTGGAGTCCTGCAATTTGAATTTCTACACCCCATTTCATCTTTCCCCTCTCCCACTCCTACCCCTTCCTTCCATCTCATGCCCTCTCCATTGTCTGCCCTCTCTCAACCTGGCCTCTTTCCCTTCATCACATGGCACCACAGCTGATGTCAGGGTTGTTCAAAATGCCCAGCCCTACCATTAGGCAGAATGAAGAAGAAACTGGCTCAGGAGCAGGTTTGGGCACTGGCAGACCTACATTTTTGGGGGGGTCCTGAGGCCTGAACTGTTATGTGGGGGGAGGAGCTTCACAACCAGCAACAAAGTCTCAGTAACAAGTGTTATCTTACTCAGTGGATTTGTTCCATGACAGATCATCATAGTTTCTTTTTTAATGGACTAAATTTGCTTCTTGGCCCCTTTGGGATTAGAGACCCTGAAGCTTAAGCTTCATTAGTTTTATAATAGATCTACCCCTGGGTTTGGGGGGTGTCACAAAAAGTCAGTATATTTTTACTGCCAGAGTGAGGAAGAGGAGCAGATGTAATTTCCTGCCTCATGTGTCAACATAATCTATGAGTAATAATGCACAATTGGCTTGGGATACTATATAGAGATGGGCACAAACTAGTTCGTCCCAGTTCTTCCCAACTCATAAAGGCAGCAGCACAGGCCCTGCTGTTTCCCTCCACCACCTTCTCTGGCTCAATCAGCCACTCGCCAGGCACAGCGTGCTAGCTTCCTGCCCCTCCTCAACAGTCCCACCACAGCTCAGGCTTCTCTGCCCTGCCCTCTGGGCTCATCTCCCACTCAGACAAAAGGGGCAGGGCAGAGAATCCTGTGCTCTTGCTCCTGACGGGAGATTAGCCAAGGAGATGGAAACAGCAAGCAAACGGGGCCTGCTGAGTGGATAATCAGCTGAGGAGGCGGAAGAAGGGAGGAGCAGCACCTCTGCTGCCACCTTTACAAACTGGTATGAACTGGTTCGTGCCCATCTCTAACACTATAGGTATCTTGACGCAAGTGACGTATGAGCTGGAGATCACCCTTTGCTGCTATTTCTCAAAAGTATCTTGGAACAGCAGCACCTCTGCTGCCACCTTTATGAACTGGTATGAACTGGTTCGTGGCCATCTCTAACGCTATAGGTATCTTGATGCAAGTGACGTATGAGCTGGAGATCACCTTTTGCTGCTATTCCTCAAAGGTATCTTGGAACAGTTCTGAGCATGGTTACAGTGGCTTCTAAAATATTTTAATTTACATTTCCATCCCTCTTGCCTTCAGAATCAGGTTCAAGAAAGTCTCCCCTTGTTTTATGGGCAGCACCTGTGTTAGTCTGTAGCAGCAGAAGCAACAAAGAGTCTAGTGGTACTCAAAGACTAACACAAGCATGTATTTGGTGTACTTTTTCATAGACTGCCTTTGACAAAGTTGGATGGTACCCATGAAAGTTTATCCCAGTTTAAGAATGTTATTTTTTAAACTGCCACTTAAAACTTTTCTCTTTTCTCTCCATTGTGTATTTCCCATTCTGTTTTTCTGCTTCACATATGTTCATCAGCACTTACCCCCTCATTTGCTCCTCTCTTGTATGCCTTCCTCCTTGATGTCTAGAATAGATTAGCCTCTCCTCAACACCTGCTGGCCCAAAGAATGCAGAATCTCCAGCCTGTGGGCCACATCTTGCCCATGGGGGATGCCCCATCCAATATGAAGCCTTCTTTTCCCTTCCCTTCCCTTCCCTTCCCTTCCTGCCCTCTTCCTTACCCCACTTCCTAGCTGTTCAGCATGTAGGTTTGTTTTTTTTAAAAGAGCCATACAGCTGAAAGCATTCACTAGTGTCCATGAAAGTATTTTTTACCCCAAAAACAGTCCAGATGAGAAGTTTGCTGTCTCCTGTGCTATGATTGCTCCCAAAAAATGGCCCAATGCAAGGAAATTTGACTTGAAAAATGTCTCCTTCTGGCAACTGTGGGAAGACTTTGGAACACTACCTTTTAAAAAGAAACCCACTGTGTTACTCATTACCTCTTGGCAGCGTGTTTGCCCACTAATGTTGCTGTGATCACCCAAGTAATCCATGCCATAAGACATTAGCACTGCAGTGCCCTTATCAACACTTTGCAAATAGTTACAGAAATGTTCAAGATAAAAACCAAAGAAGAGTTCCCTTGCCACTTAGGACTGAGAACAGAATGACACAAAGCTTGAAAAACATCCCATCAAAACGTCTCTAAAATGCTTAAAATGCCCTTTGTGTGAAAGTAACTTGAAAACATTGAATACACCTACTTTGTCACTTCAGATTACACTATTGTCAGTGCAACTTTGTTCTTACTTCTTACATTGCTTGTTACAGAGTAACTAGTTGCTAGTAACTACATTACTTGTAATTAATTGACTCCAAGTTTTGACCATGTACATGGAGGCACTGGATGTGTAAGTTCAGGAAGCCTTGTTCAGGTTTTCGCCCTGAACACATGAGTGTCGGCTTCCATCATACAGAGACACTGTTCAGACTCTCCTCATACGCTGAACACAGACGTTTGCTACATGAGTTTAAATGGAGCCACAAGATCAAAGATCTTGCTTTATTTCTGTATCCACAAAAAAGCTATGTTTTATGAAAACATGGTATAAGTTACAAAGCCACCAGATAGATGCTGTTATTTTATTCATTTTTGAAAATTACAGTAGCCACATGGCCCAAGAAGATCCTTACAGCAAAACAAATTTTTAAAAAGTGAAAATTAAGAGGGAAAGCTATCCTGTGGTAATAACTGGGAAATTAATTTTTAAAGCATCCTTTAATTTCACATTGGTGTGCTCAAGTGCTTGTTAATCTCAAACATTGGTTTATCTCTGTTAGGCCAGCTAGCAACGGCTGCATTCAGAGATCAGACACTCTAGTTAATCCAGAATCCCAGGGCTAAACTATATTACCAAGCGTGGTTAGAGAAGAAACCACATTAGAGCTCCATAGACATGATTTGTCCATACCTTCATGTCTGAGAAACCAGACTTGCAAGCAAAATTATGTGCTTCCTCCCTGAAGACCATCACAAAAAACACCACATTAATTTCAAACTCTAAGAGAGGCCAGAAAAGTTCCCCTTGTGATGATCACAGAATTAGCTCTTAAAGAATTCCCCCTTGTAATGGCAGGTTACCTGTTCATATAGAGTGCACCCCTACAATACCTGAGGTCCAGAAAGAAAGAAAGAAAGAAAGAAAGAAAGAAAGAAAGAAAGAAAGAAAGAAAGAAAGAAAGAAAGAAAGAAAGAAAGAAAGAAAGAAAGAAAGAAAGAAAGAAAGAAAGAAAGAAATCCCCATGCTAAATGTGCACAGACATGATGGGCATGCTACTGTTATGCCATTACTAGCATACTGAGTGTTGCTGTTGTTCCCCTGCCCTGCCCTGTCCACTTGCAAGTAAACTTCTGCAGTTTCTCCATTTTTACACCTGAATCCATATTAGGGTCTTGGGTTATAGGGAAAGAGACCAGAAATGTTCCTACAGCATCATCTCCCCTGAGTGCCTTTTCTGGCAAAAAAGGCAAGAGTACAAATTTAATAAATAAATATCCCTCCCAGCACATTCCACTCCCTTGGCCTTTTAAATCCCACCTCTCTGCAATTAACAATAAACTTGAGAATAAGCTTGAGTAAATTTGGCGATCACTTCGTTTTCCCTCCCTGTTCTTCTCCATTCAGTTCTACCCTCCCCTTAGACAGGCATCCCATACATTTCCCAGGTTTCTTGGAAAATCTATAACAAATGGCTCCTTTGGGAATCTGTACAGTGGACTGTCATAATTTTCGGGTGGGGAGGTGCAACAATATATATCTCAGTGCTTCTCACGATTAACTATGTTCAGCATCTCTTTGCCTCATTTTCCCCATAGGCAGGTGGGTCCCCTTTCATTTCTGAAACAGCCAACCTTTCAGAGAGGGCCATTTGTCCACCTGCGCCTTGTGCCTTGCTGGGTGTCTTCTGACAGACTACTTACTCACTCAGGGTGCCAGGGCAATGCCCAGAGACTGGTGGACGAAAGATGCTTGCCTGCACGATTGATGCGCTCAGTGAAGGTGGTGGATCCTTGGTAGGTTGTGGCTCCACTGCAGCTAGAAGAGGCCTCCTAGGTAGTCACTGGGGCTGCTACTTACCTGTCTGCAGGCAGTGTGTTGAGGAAGAGGAAACGAAGGTATGGATGGAGGCTCCTGTCTCTACAGGCTGCTGTTCACCCAATGCCCCAGTGGCAACATCTTTCTGTTCTTCCCTCCCACTCAGAGCTTCTATCCCGCCCTCACCCTTTGTGACATACATCCTTCCAATACTTGCCATTGGTCAAACAGAGTGTGGAAGGCAAAGGGGGTGGGGGGGAGAAGGAGGAGGGAGCGTTGTTAAGGACTCATTAGCTGCTTAGTAACTCTATTCCCTCAAGGGTGAATGGAAGGCAGTGGGGGGAGGAGAGAAAGCACACACACACACAGAGAAATTCTTTCCTGACCTTGCAGCTGTGGGCACACACAGGTGAAATCTTGCAACCTGGGGAGTCAGTCTCCTTGCACACCAACTAACAATGAAGAACAGTGCCTCTGCTACAGTAACTCTGCTAGACTTAAAGGTGCTACAGGACAATTTGCTGTTTTAGCCCCACCCCTTGAGCGGTGGCATACCTCAGTCAGGATAGTGCATGCTCTCTGTGGAATATGTCCTGCACAGGACAAAAAAATCGCACAGACAAAAGAATCAAGAGGCCTCCAGGTGGAGGGCTCCTGTCACTATAAGTCGCCTGGCATTGTTCAACTGTTCTGATTTTTACTACTTATGGGCTTTTTATCGTAAGGAAACTAGGAAATGTAGGAAATTGCCCTGTGTTGAGGTAGACCACTGGGAGACCATCAATTCTCTTGGCCAGCATTGTCAGCACTGACTGGCAGCAGCTCTCCTGCACTTAAGGCTAGACCCCCCTCCCACCTCAATCCTACGTGGAGATGCAGAGGATCAAACCACAGATGATCTGCGTCTGCCTTCGACTACAGTCCAGCATGGTATGTGGTTTGATCCTCTGCATCTCCGTCTAGGATTGGGGGGGGGGAATCTAACCTGAAATGCTGCTGCCAGTCAGTGCCACCAGACCTGTGCCATGGTGTATGGCAGATGTTAACAGAAAGACTCAAAATGGTACAAAGTGTGTGCAGGAGGAATTGAAGCAAAACTCATGTTTGGACATGGTTTCCACGTGTAGAGCAGGCCTGTGATTTTAAAAAAAATTACCACAGTCGGTTGCTTATAGGAATCCTCTGACCCTGATAGGCTTTTTGTTTTTGTTCTAATATTATATGCTGATTGGTTGGGGGAGTTGCCCTTTGGGATAAAGGGACCTGGCCCTGCTGTGTCCACCTCCCTGCAGGTGACCTCTCACTTGCCTTCTCCTCACATGCTTTGAAAAACAAGGTAAACATTTATTTCCCTCCAATGGGGTGGGGGTGGGAGGTGAGGAGAAACCAATCCCCTTGTCTTTGTTTCAGCAAATAATGAAAAAGAGTCAGTCCTGTGGGCTCCCTTCCTCTGGCATCACCACACTAGGGTCACCCCTTTGCAGAGACACTAGTGGTTGGAGTTGTAGCAGTAGTTGCAGCAAATGTTGCTTCCTGTTCCATTCCAATATTTTTTCATTGTGGTTCCTACTAAGGACTCCTTTCAGGCTCGTTCCATATTGCAGTATTCATAAGCCATTCCCTCCCTGCTTCTTTGGTTGCCAATATTTTTTCATTGTGGTTCCTACTAACGACTCCTTTCAGGCTCGTTCCATATTACAGTATTCATAGGCCATTCCCTCCCTGCTTCTTTGTTTTTCTAAATGACACTCCCATGATGGGTAAGGAGAGTTTGAACTGCAACTCCCAGAAACCCCAGTCAGGATAGCTGGTGGTAAAGGCTTCTGGGAGTTGCAGTCCAAAACCCCTGAGTAACCCAAGGTTAAGAACCTCTAATCTAAATGACACTCCCATGATGGGCTGGCTGAGGAGAGTGAAGTAGGCAAAGTCCTTCCTGTGGCTACCAGGGCCTCCCCGCCCCTTGAGTTTATCATGTGCCACGTGATACATTACAGAACTGAGGTCTTTAGCCATGTGTCCAGGGTTTTCACTAGTGGTTTTTACACCATTTTTCTGACACGTTGTTAAAATAGTACGTGTAAGATGGTCTCACTCCCTCCTGACAACGAAGTGCTAAGCAAAGACATTAACATCCATCCAGTAGGTATTATTTTTATTTTCTTCCCTTGAAAGTCACAATGGCATATTTCTACATATGTTTTATTAGTCATCTTGCTTCCTGTAAATTATTTTAAATAACTATGAAAGGAGACAAATAGACTACTCTGAAAAAAAAGCACAGTTACCACTCTCTGAGATCCAAGGTATGTCCTTGTGATGTCACAAAGGTGGGGCAGACAAGAACTGGGAGAAAGATCAGAACTGTTTCTGGACCAGCTGATGTTGAAAACTGGTTATGAGGAGAGACCACATAAATGGGCCCAGAATCCAGGTGGAATCCAACTAACCAATAATACAGCAACTCTAGCTGCCTAGAGTGGTCTTATAGGCCAGATGGGTGGGGTATAAATCAAATAAATAAATAATAAATAAATAAACTCTGAGCTGGAGGGGGCACATTTTTTTGGTGGTTGGATAATGGCAAAATGCACTCAGCATTTGCAGCTATTGCCACCAGCTACGCTAAGGCTTTCTATATTTATGGAGTTATAAAGTCAGATCATGTGGAGTTTTCACTGGGAATAGACAGAAATGAGTCTTTAAACCCAGGTGACACACACTCAAAATCAAACTTCCACCTCTTTCAGTCCTACCTGCCTCAAGATTTGTCCCCCTGACTGAAGAATCAGAGAAGCCCATAGCAATTTCCAGGGACTTCATTTGGTATCCTGAGACTTAGCCATCCTACTATAACACCCACGGATAGCTTTTGTGTCATGGGATAATGCTCAATGGCTGAGGACTCAGTCATATAGTCAGCTTTCAGCACTGCAATCCTATAGCTGTTTACTTAATAGTAAGTCCCACTATATTCTCTATGGCTTCCTCCCTAGTAACTGTGTTTGGGATTGAAGCATAGTATCCCCATAACAAATGGATTACAGAGATCTGGGAACAGATCCTAAAAACATAAACACAGGCAGTGTATATTTCAGACAGAATTAGGTTCTCTCTGCTCCCCAAGACATATCCATCATACAGGAAAGAAACAAAGCAAGGTTTCACATCAGAGGCAAGGAGACATGGCAGGCGTTGCCAAAACTTCACAGGCAACACCCCCTTCTTTGCTCCCCAATTCCTTAAATTTTGACTCTGTTCCTGGGTTTCACTAAAGCCAGGGGCATGTTGATCTCCTGCTGCTCATGTGCAGGAATCTTTACAAAGAGCAGCTCCCTGTTTCAGCCCTGCTCTATTATTAATAGAGAGCTTCAAGGGTTTTTATTTATTTATGCTATTTGGGGATGAAATCAAAGCTAACTTTCAGAGACGAGCCAGACGTGCAGCCCTGACACACACAGAGAGTGTCCTAGCCCAGGCTTTTGAACTGGCAAATCTGTAAGACACTCTGAGGGTTGTGGGTTTACTTAGCTTGTGTGAGGATTTACGGGGAAGTCGTAAAGCTTATTTGGCTGAGTCTCTCAAACGTAGGTACTGGGGACAGCATAGGTGTTCTGATGTGAGGAGCAGTATACAATTCATATTCCAAGGCTGGGACACAAAAGATGAAAAACTGGGGGCCTGAACCAAGGGAGGGAGTGATTACACTGCAAATTAGAACCAAGGTCTCTCCATGACATAAATGCAAGCATGAATTGCTTTTGCCCAGGAAGCAATTTTTTGATTGGAAGGTGAAGTAAAATACTTCTCCACCAGATAGTATACCAAACTGACTTGGTTTGGTAGATATAAGCCCCCTCTGTTGGAATAAATTGTATCTTACCAGCATGAGGGAAGAAACAGGAGTGGAGAGGAGGAGGATCACCCATGGCAGGGGTCGGAGGAGGAGCTGCCAGGACCCCCAGTCTGCCCACTTGGCCCCACCTGCTCATTCACCCATCTGATTGCTTGCTCACTCCCCCACCTGCCCATCTGATTGCTTACTTGACCACCCACTCACCTGTCAGATCACCCACCACCCACCCAACCGCTCATTCATTTGCACGCCTGATTGCTTGCTTGCTTGCCTGCCTGCCTGCCTGCCTGCTCTCCGATTGCCCACTCCTGATTGCCCATTCCTATCCCCTTTTTCCTTTTCCACCCTTTTCCCTCTCGTCCTCATCCCCTGTCTAGATAGCATTCTCCCTGCTGTCACACATGCCCGATCTTGGCCGAGGCGACAACAGAGATGGCCAACTGAAAAGTTTTGATTTGGGCTAAAATCTATGTGATGCTGTACAATACGTACGGTTGGAACATGGAATGTGAGAATCATATGAATCAAGTGGTTGGCGTTGTGAATTAAAGTGGACTAGAACAATGTGTTTTCAGTAAGATAACTACGAAGGTTTCTATTCTGGAAAGGGCAATCTCAGAAGGACTGGAATGGCTTGAATACTGAGGCAAGATGTTGCACAGGCAGTTAGAGGCTGTAATGCAAGATCTGACCGAATAGTATTGATTAGATTCCAGGAAAAAAAACTATTAGCATAACCATCATTCAAGTCTACTCTCCAGCTACAGATGCTGAAGAAGATGAAACTGAAAGTTTTAGTAGCAAACAGAAAAGAAAGAAACTACATGGGTAACAGAAGAAACTAGAGATGGGCACAACCTGAAAAAATGGTGGTTCATGATGGTTCATGGTTCGTGACTGGACACAAACCTCAACCCAATCAGAATACTGAACCATGAACCAGTTCGGTTTTCGATCCGTGCCTGTTGGTGGTTGGTTTACCTTTTCCAGTTGTGCTGCTGCAGCAGCCAACTTACCCTCACAGCTGAGCCTCTGCCACTGCTGCCACTGCCAAGGGTTGCCACCTCCCTGCCACCACCTTGACGCACTGCTGCCCCTCCATTGCAGCCACCCTACCACCGCCACTGACTAAAGAACTATATAACTTTAATATCAACAATGAGGAAAGATGTTGCATACATTGGTTGAGCTTTTTGTCCCCAATCCAAATGGGGACTGCAGCCAAAGAATCAGAAGAAGACTGAGACTCTGAAGGGCAGAAATAAAGGAAAGATAATCAATTATGAGAAAACCAGATTCTCTAGAAGAAACAATAATGCTAGGAAAGGTTGAGGGT